GAGCGGTTAGGCGAGGGTAGGCGTGCCCGGGGACGGGGGGAGAGGGCTTCCTCTTTGCCTCAAGCGGGTCAGGCTGCGGTAGGCTGCAGGGCAGCCGGGTTTGCCCTCCTGAGCCTCAGCTGGTGGAGGTGGGGGGCGGGTTTGCATGTTTAGCCCGTCTCTTCAGTCCTCCCGGTTACGCGCTGCGGTCCTCGGGCTCCGCGTCGAGGGCGCGACGGAGGAAGTGCTGAATTTCACCCCCCCCTCCAAAAAAACCCCCCAAAACTCCCATGTTTCCCCTGCAGGTTCTGCGGAGCGTGTGTCAGCAGCGAGCGGAAACGCTGGCCCTAGCGAGGGAGAAGAGTCTTGTCTGATGAGTCGTGAAAACGCTAATAAACTGGCGACGCGGTTTCGAAAAGCCTTATTTGTCTTTAGCTTGGAGTTTGCTAATCTCAGCAAGTCTGTCAGACCAGATGACAAAGGCTGTCTTATTTGCCAGCTATTTCAGGAGGTCTAATTAAGATACTTCCTACTTTGATTCCTTTATTTTCTTAATATTAGTAATGCCTTGTTTGCTTTAATATTTTAAATGGCAGGGAATTTAAAAACACTCTATAAGCAATAGGGTCTGATAGGAGTCTTTATTAACAATATGTGTTATCCTCAAAGCAGGCTTGAACTATTTTCTAAGGAATCCTACAGCACTCCTGCAAGTGCCCTAGTATGGAAAATGGGGGCACAATATCTTCTAGACAATTACTGAGCGTGTTAGCATGATGACTGAGAACTCAATGTTTTCTGTCAGTAGGTCTATCATTTCAGCAGAGGAGTACTTGTTGCACTGACTCAAAGAACAATCCTCATTCTCTAAAGGAGTGAGCAAATTCAATATTCTAGCACAAGACCTCCATTTACGTGAATTACATCTGTTACACGAAGTTTGTGTTTTCTGGTTCTTGCTACCTCAGCTTGTGAAGATCCATAGATCTAGAGATATGAAATATGTTGCAGGCAAAAGATAAGAGCAAGAGCCATCAAGCTAGGCCTGTGCCATGAGACACACAGATGGAGTGAAATGACACAGGAAGATATTTACAGTACCCTATTAAAAGAATCCATATGAAATTGAATTAAAAATATTGTAGTGTTAAAATATTGTTATTGCTCAGAAAATAAATACATTTCAGGCTTCTACTACAAAGCAGCATTAACTAATAAAAATAACACATTCAAACTGCTAGGAAGGTTGTCCTGTTCAAAATTTTATTGGGCTGATAACACGTTAAAAAGTTAAAGTTTAAAGAAAAATTATCTTACGTCATTCTGTTTAACTTGTACAGCTGAACGTTCTGGGTGCTTAAGAAACCCAAGCGTCAATAGCACTTGCATAGGGGACATAACCAAATAGCTGCACTCAGACACCTGACAAAACAGACTTTATGAATGTGAGTGATTATTCAGTTACTGAATGCCAATGGGAGATAAAGAATAATAGAAACTGTTTGCTTTGAAAAGTAATTTGCTGGTGTTATCGCTGCTCAGTTATCGGCTGAGATTTATGAACTGCCGGGAAATCCCTTAGATTGCTGCTTGTAATTCGCTGTTTTTAGTGGTTTGGGTATTCCTTTTTTAATTTTCAAGCACTTTAGGAAGTACTCAATAAAATTCGTACACATCAGAGTTGATGCATATACCATGAAGTCCTTTTGTGTGTTGAAGTGTGGGAGGCTTCTGCCAGTGAAAGGGGACACTTGCTGCGTGTACTCCCACATGAAATACACATCATCCAAAAATATATACGCAGCAACTTAAGTTACATTATAGTCAACTAGCTATTCATCTCCAAAATCCAAACTCTTGCAATAACTTTGTCTCATTTGACCTTACCTTAATATTTTGCAGAGGTAGATCCTATTTCCCAGGAGTCTCCCTCCCTCTATTTACAATAATAGAGTAAGGTCAAATTGACCACAGTATTGTGGTTGATCAACGTTACTTTGCTTTGGAACTAGTAATAAATCTTTAAATTAAGCAGGACACTGACTGATTCTTCTGTTTGTTATATTTGCTATGGTAAAGATACACCCTCCTTGTTTACCTGGAGCTCAGCTAATTTAGTCTAATGTCATTTAAAATAGTTTAAAAATAAATGAGAGGCAAATATTTCTGGAAAACTGAAAATCATTTCTCAAAAGCAAGACTCTGAACGATCCTCAGAAATTAGCCACATGAATGTAGCTCTCCCTTTTCAATTGCGGAACTAGGAGTTTAAATGGGTTGAATGCCAGACTCCTAGTAATAGTATCTTGCGGTATTACAGAATTTTATTTGTGTTTTTTATGCAACTATAAGAATGGTCTAGTATAAAAAAGTCCGTACAGAGTTACAGATTTTTTTCTAGGAGATACTAATTGTATTGTTACCTCCCTCAAACTACTTAATATTAGTGGCATAGAAAAATTTGTGGGTTTTTTTACAATTTTCAATGGCATCCTTATCCTAGCTCTTCTGTCCCCAGCTACTAACTCTTCTAGTACAAATTAAAGAGGAAAAGTTAATGGTGGCCTAGCAGGCTGGCTGTCAATAGAGAAACAGGGTAGTGGACAGCTCTAGACATCTTTAAGCTTCACCGTAGATTAACCATGGGGTTAATCTAGTTCATAATCATAGTAATCATCATCTGTGTTTACTGTGATGCTGGAGGTGTCTTGGGGTTTCATTTTCTTTCTGTCTTCTTTGCCTTTTTCCATGGAAGACAGATTGTCTTGACACTGCTGCAGAATCTTTTTGGAAGACATCCAGCTTTCTCCTCGGCTTTCAGCTGGTGCTGCACACTGCCCTCCTCTGACATCCGTTCCTTTGGCCATGAGTGCTCTTCTGGTTCTGAGAAGGTCACAAGTGCAATTCCAAGGGTTACCATCTAAATATAGGTGCCGGAGGCGAGGTAAATACTCTACGACTTTGCGATCCAAGGCGGATATCTTGTTGTTCCGTAAATTTAAAACCTGAAGCTGTTTCAAGTCCTTCAGCTCTTGTTCTCCAACATCTTCTATTCCATTTCCCTTTAGATCCAATCTAGCAAGGGTATCTGGAAGTCTGAATAAAAATAAAACAACACAGATGTGTTATATTCATCACATTAATTCTATTTGTGTAGGTGGTATTTGATGGTGCGTGTTTGCTCAGCCACAGCTGACTTACAAGTCTTTGATGTTCAGCGGTGGTAAATGAAAGCAATAATGCGTTCTTCTATAAAAAGATGTGGTCTTGAAATGCTTGTGTCCATTTTTTTGAAGTTATCAGAACACTGTCTATGTACACTTGAACTGTTTTTCTAAATCATTGCAGTTCTGACCGGTACTGACCGTGTTTGTTCAACCGAACAAAACAGCAATTTTAGTCCTACTGTACTAAGGAGAAAGTTATGTGTTCAAGTGGGTGTCAAGTAAGCTTAAAATTGGATTCTGTACTCTTTAATGCCATAAGCAAGCCTATGACCAGCATGAAAGATGCAATTGTAGCAGCATGAAGGATGAAATGTCTAGAGAAGCATGACAGCTCTGCTACCCCAAGTACTTCTATATATGATTTGTTAAAAAAAAAAAAAAGATTTATTTCATAGATGAAAGAACTAGAATTTTTCTTCCATTTTATTCTCCTACTCCCATCAGATTCAAAAGTTAATTAATCATCTCAGAAGTAGCCCATCTGATGTTGTTGTGTTTTGAGCAACAGGGAAAAATATAAATGCTTTTCAATGGCCTTTTTTAAGAGTACTTTAGAGAATTAGAACTGTTTACGTTTAGAAGAAAAAAAGAGCCAATGGTCTCTGGATGTCCTACTAGACTTCTCAATTTCATTCTTACTTTCATATATCTTATAAATTTGTGTGACAAAACTACTTTATTTCAAAAGTCTTGCTCAGTTATGATCTTCTATTTTTCTCCAGCTCTAGTTAGTGAAATCTGTTTAATCAAAAAGCCCGTTAATTGGTATAGACTATTTTTATTTAAGTTAATTTGAGATTAACCGAAAAGTCATTTTACTATTGCAGTATGCAAGGTGATGAGATTAAGAATCACAATTGGAGATTTTAAGGAAACTTATTTACTATAACTGTCAGTAAAATTAAAGTAATAATACCAAGACCTGCTTACAATGAAATGTCCCACAACCAACAAACGTTGATGTGGTAGATTTTTATCTCAACATAGTGATTTGAGATATCTTTGAAAGTGACTGATAGAGTCCAGTGTGAGCGTCACTGGCTGAAACGATTGCTTCTGTGAGGCCGAGTTTGACCTCTTAGGCCAAAAGGTTGTTGCCATATTTGTGTATATCTCACAACTTCATTGGGAATATTTCAAGAGTAAGGCCGTTCTGTATGGAACTATATTTCCTGTGTGAGATCAGAATTTCATGTGCTGGAGTGGTAAGTGATTCTGCAGAATTTGGTCTTACTAATGTTTGTGACTGCAATAATTGTATTTTGAAACCAAACTACAGACAATAATGATAGTTGTCCAATATTACACTATAACGTAAGGGTACTCTAGGGTGAAATCCTAGTCCCACAGATGTCAAAGGTAGTTGGATATCACCTGAGATATTTATCCAACCAGATTACAATCTAAAGCCTGACCGGCAAATCCTTAAGCCTGTGAATAGTATTATTGTACCATGGATAGTATGTTAAGCTTGTGGCTGTATTGTTTGACTTTAAGTTGAGAGTATCTTGAGATAATAACTATGAATTTGAGTATGTGATGAGTGATCTTGCTGCTAGCACAGAAGCTATGCATGTTCAGGAGTTGACCATGACAGCCATACTGCTGGTGCTGCTGCTCCAAGGAAAATCATCAGGCTGTTTCCTGCATTCTGACCCCTCCTGACAAGATTTTATGAAGTAAGAGCTCTACTGTGTGAGTCCTGATTAAGTACTTGGACTTGGAATGGATATAAATTCTGCTGGGGGCAATTTCCTTTTGTTATTTTCTTCACAAAAAACAAAAGAACCTCTCTTCTCCTCATCCCCACTGAACAACTGCTAAGACCCATTAACTGTGACATATTAACTATATTTGTAACCTTTGAGACTGGTGACTGGTAGTTCTCAGATAACTGTCAGAAGTTACACTTTTGTTTCTTGGTATTCAGGCAACTACGTGGGATCAGCAGACAATTTAATTAAGTACATAGGTTTTTACTTCTTGTCATTTCCCTCCCTCTTTTATGTTTGCTCTCCACTTGAAATTTGTATTCATTGTAGAGTTCAAAGTAAAAGTCTGCAATATGTCCTTAAAAGCTATACTGTTTCCAATATGTCCTTAAAAGCTGTACTGTTAAAAGGCTGATAAAGAACTCTTTCTTCCTGTTAATTCCCTTGTGTATGAAGGTTGTAAAATAAGATGAATTAGACAATACTAACGTAACTAGAAAGCATTAAACATTCCTGTCAAGCTGTACTGAAATCAAATATTTATATACCACTAAATCTCTTTCTGATTATAAAGCTTCTACCAAATAGATTCAAATGCTGAGGAACCTAATGCTAAACGAATTGAAATTTTACTACATGATTTATTTGGGCCAGTTAAACTTGTCCACAAGCCATAAAAGTAAAATTTAATAGTGCAGCTAGGTTAAAGAACCTGATGTTAATGGAATTACAAGGCTATATTTATGCCATCTTACTGCACAGCTTTTTGAAATAAAAAAAATTGCCACTTCACATCAGACCAGCTTCTGTTTGGTCTAGCATCTCATCTCTGGTAATCGCCAAGATTAACACTCAGTTAAATGTGAGAGAACCTGTACCCCCTGTAGTGTAGGGTACATTAAGGAACACTGTGTGCCCAAGGGATGTTTTGTCTGTGCTCTTTTGACTGGAGTTTTGCTTACAGTCTGAAGCAGAAGAGTTTTTAAGCCTTTCAAAGACTTTGTTGTGTGTGAATTTAATGAAGCTGGCAATGCTAATATCCACCTAAACAGCACGTGATTTTTGACCAAACTCAGCTCCTGAAATCTTAATATGTTAACAATGATAAGCTCCATAAGGGTTGGTAAAAATAGCTTTAAACTTGCTGTCTTTCACTTTTATTGAGTTCTGTGATAACAGGAGAAGATAAAACTAAGCAGCAGTATAACTTCTCCATAATCATTCTTTTATATTCTTCTAGCTTGTTCCTCTTATTCATGTGCTAATTAAATAAAGTAGTCTCACTGGCAGCCAGAAATGTGAAATGAGCAGATTCACTGGAGGCCAGAGATGTAATAGAAACAGCTCTACTTCTATGCTGAGGCTGCCAATAAGGGTGCTAATTAGTGTCACTTATGGCAGTGGGCTTAAGGTATGGATAGACGGCTACTATGAGTTCTACCATGAGGGTCTGAATGCAAATTTATTTCATTTTAGCCCTCACTCTTGTAATCTAAGGAAGGGGAGGTGACACCTGTCAACCAGCTATCCTCAGATTCACTTGCCTCAGTGGAATAGAGATCAGGAGATTCTGTTCCAGTGCCAGGTTAGAAAGCTGTGCGCACTGCTGAAGAGCTCCTGCCTCAAACATGTGAACAGCATTGTTGTCAAGAAACAAGTGTTTCAGGTCTTGTAATCCTTGGAAGTCCTGTGCTGTCACCCTTTGAATCAGGTTATTGCTGCAGTCCAGTTTCTGCAGTCTGCCTGGGAGCCTGAGTGGCATAGTGTGGAGCTGGTTCTTAGACAGCTCCAATGTTGTTAAGTTAGGAAGAAGCTGGGCACCATCTATTGATGAAAGCTGATTTTCTGAAAGGAAGAACTCAGACAGGTTTTCGAGGTGTTTCATGTCCCGAAGTCTTATTGTTTTGAGTCGGTTTTTCTCTAATTTGAGTGATAGCAAGGACTTAGGCAGGTCAAGAGGCACTTTTGTTAGAAAGTTGCCGCTTAGGCTGAGAAACTGTAGATTCTGGAAATATTCA